TAGAGCGGTATTTTGCCAACATTCATAGTCAGGATTATTTATAGGATATTAACACTTCGTAGTACATGTCAGCTACAAAGTACTGCGACAGCTCAGAGTTCAGCTTTTACATACATCTAGGCAGCACCAGGATTCGAAGTACTTAGTAGCTGAAATTACTATTTTATGATGATAAACTCTATCTCTCTAAATACATTTAAATGTTACCAATACTGTTGCTTCTGTTAGGCTTCGAAGTACAACATATGCATCGCCGTTTATTTCACCACCCAAAGTGTATGAACAGCTAGCTGTGGCCTCGCCTCTAGCACCGATAGCTATGGTTTCTATGATAGAGAGAATATAAAACAGGGGTTAGCTTCAACCTGACCTAAGCAATTAGTTTTTTATATCGTAGCCCTTCTTCAATAGTTTGCTACCGTGAGCTTTATCTTAGTATGCTACAGAGACATACTTTATCTAAGAATTTGATTTGTATAGAGAAACTTCCTTTCAAAGACCACGATTGTGAAAGGCGAAAATGTTTCCTAATAAATGCACGTCCAGACCTTATCTGGCTTATTAGACTAGTCACGGTAAAATGAACTAAGCGAGAGCTAGCATGCGGATGAGCCTAGCTCCACCCACTGAACATAAACGATGAACGATGACTTCATACGGGTGAAGAAACACTGCATCACAAGACGCGTTGAGTAGTCTATTGGGTTATCGAAATAGGTTATTTAAAAAATTACAGTTGACAGTTTTGCTTTCATAAGATAGGTTTATCGTATTGAATGCAGTAGCCATGTACACCGTGCAATTCCACGGCTAGAACATGCGAAAACAAAGCCAAACTATTTCCTGAGAGTAGGATGAAGAGTAGTGTCAAGTAACAACATGTTAGTTGGCGGAGTACGTCATCCGAACAACATTAAGTATGACTTTCGTAGGTGCACATAAGATCCATTCCAGGAAGTGAGTTCCAATATGGACACAAGTAATTAGAAAAGTAATCACTACGGCACTACAAACGGCTGTACTGTTCCGCTAATTTCGTAATGTGATCTCCAAAGTTGGTGTTACTGCTGTTTGCTATAAAGAGCAGTACACATAATTTGGTTTGTGTAAAGTATGCCATATTCAACTCGCATCGTAGTCGGCGATACCGCAAGCTGAAAACTCCCAAACCTTTCAGCTTCCGCTTAGAGGGAAGGTGAAGCAAATCCTATGACGTATATAGCAGCCCGCTGTTGAGACTCGTAGGGTGTAGTAAGGTAGTGCTTTAGTCATCGCTGCCAGGTTTGGATTGTGTCTTTAACAAAAAGGCGTACAAATGCTTTTAACATTATTCAAAAATGAATGTAGCTATTTGCTCGGAGGCTCGTCCCAACAGGCCGAATTGTTGGTCGCTAATTTTTGATGGTTTTTCAGGTTGAACAGAACAAACTAAATTATCCTGAACCAGCAAAACAAGGTGGAGTTGGACGTATCATCGCTGCAGTACTTGCTTTCCATCCTGCAGGAATTGGCACTCTGATGTTATATGAAGTGTACCTATTGTTTTCTAAAGTTTAGTTCTAGCAGATTTCGGGTGGACCACTAATGTACACTATGTAAGAATTAAATTCTGCTCGGCATCCACCTGAATCCTGCAAATTAGCTTTCTGTCCCCAGTATTTTCCACTGTTTGTAAGTTGTAAATGTTTTTGCATTTAGCTAACCAATACTGAAGACAACGTAGGTAAAACTAATTGTGGCGTTCGAAATTGAGTTATTCTCATTATTCGATTATAAGGACGTCAGGATCTAGAAATTGCTATTCAATCAGCACTAAATTTCCGGCACTTATTTATCTAGCGCTTGTTGTTTTCAGTACTGTAGAAAAAAGGGTAAGACTAGTAAATATTTGTAATCAAATGTTGCTTCCCAAACAGTGAAATGTACCGAAATTTTTAAAAGGTTTCGAATTACGTCTCACCATGCTTTGGTTTCTGCTGTTAATTACATGAAAGCAACTGTATTGTTAAACCGAAATTCTTCGTTCGTAATATTAGCAGCAACCAGCGCATCCGGAAGTACATGCGGCGTGCCCAAAACCTATAAGTATTGGGAACATGTGACCATTGCGTATATTTTAAATTCAGATTAGATTACAAAGATATCACGCACGGGATTTGCTGACCTTAATAGCACCTCGAATACACAGTTAATCTTGTATTCTGGAAATCAAGACAGCATGCATATAACAGATTAAAAGCATTCAGTTCCCTTCTTTCACTATACCGTTTACTCATTGACTTACGCGTGGTTATTTGGCTTAGTGATTGACAATGTTTGAGGTCCCGCAAACTGCAACCTTCGCTAGAACTTAACGTAGTTAAGAAGTAACATTTGCTCTTCACTCTGTTTATAGACCATCACCGAACCGTTGCGCTAGTTGGGGTTGTCATGTTTAACTGACTTGCGCCGTTGGCGCTCTCTAGAATTTTTTGCGAGCTACGATATGGAAAGAAAAATATTAGCGCTGTTGGGACGCAACCCAAACAAAATTTTGATGAATGACAGGGAACATGTTCCGATCAAGAGATAATTTTTCCGCATTCGGCTAAATAACACACTAAGTTTCGTTAAATATGTTGCAATTGGCGCTGTATTCTGTTCTGCACATAAACACTGTAAGCAGGCTGTTCGGCCACGTTTCATCCTGAGTGCAGTGCTAATCGCATGATTTTTATCATGCAGTCTGCTAAGCTTCGACGTGTTTCGCCACATAACTGATCCTGGTTCCTCTGCAATTTAGGTAATACTTTCAACGCAACTGTAAACTAATGCAATTTTGATAGATTTTCCGATTCTCTGGTAAAATGTTTTGTAGAGACGTCGCTTTATATTTACCTGGAGAGCATTTTGTTGGTTTCGTTTGATTAAACTAAGATCCGCTTCAAAAATTTGGTTAAATGCATTGTCTAATTACGATAGACCTACTCAACACATTGAAGTTTCGAACACGCAATAGTATGTGGTGGAAAAGTACCTGTTTTCTTCTAGCAGTGCACTCATTTCTTAATTACTAGGTTCATCAGACACAATTTTGGCCTGCGCGATTCGGGGGATCATTAGCCAATGTAACAACCAGTTACCAAGTTGCACACCTGTCAGGAACAGAGTACCCGGTTGTTCATTCCTGATGAAAAGTATTGACACCGCGGAATATTCTGGTATTTTCGCTGGATTCCATTGGCATGCCAGCTCATTGCCTAGTAGCGAATATACCAAGGTTTATGTATTTGTTGAATAAAGTTGCGTTTCAATAGCAGGTTTACGAAATTACTATCACATTAAGCCAACCAATCCTGGTTCCTTTATACAAATGAGAAAAATTGGATCGTATGCACTATTTCTTGTAATTTGTAGGCACACTTGCTGATGCTGCCTAATAATGAATGCAAACCAGCGGTTCTTTTTAACAGATGCTCCGAATGAAATAAAAAAGGCGCAATAGCACCTCTGCAATCGTTTACTAAGATTACGTTACTTACCGTGTGTAAGTGAATGTATACCCTGATTCCGAGTGTTACGTTAAATGTCAGCATGAGACTAGCGACGGACTGCCACTCCGTAGGAAGAAAATTCCATTGGATGATACAACAATTTGTGAAATTTGAGATGATTCGTTACCAACAGCCGTTGAATTTCTGTAGATCCTTACTTATGGCTAAGTGATTTAAACGGCGATCAAAGAAATGTGTTAAAATATTTGCTGTAGGAAAATAAAAGATTAATATATTCAGCGCTAGTTTTACGTTCAGTGTCTTCAATCAGTCAGAGACGTGCTAGTGATGTTGCTCCCGAATGCAATAAAGTGGCTTAGCATTTTCTAGCCAGTTAGTTTGCAAAAAAATGGTGGTTAACGAGGGCAGCAAGAAGATATATGCAGCAGCTGCGCTGCAAGAATCGACTGAAGAACTCCTCCTTGCTAACTTCCAAAACACGGTGGGCTGTCTGACAAATGCATCCCGTTATCCAAACTTTTCAAGTTTTGCAAATCTATAGTGAATGCAGATATGAAATTGTTCACAGCTAGCTAATGCTTAGTAAGATCCTGATTAATCTTGGCTGTACTATGACCCGTGTTCTTATTAAGGATAGTAAACATCGCCAACTTCTTTTTCTACAATGCGAAGCGAATATGGATTAAGTTGTCCGGGTGATTTTGAGTCCATAGATTAAAGAATAGCCTATAGTTAAGTTCTGAATTTTTCAAACGGTTATTTATACTCTACATCAAAACAGACCACATTTCCCAGGTTGCCACATAAGTTTGAAGTGACAACATTACAACACCGTTCACATCGCATGAACATAAAGTGCTATCAGAATTATTTAGTTGCACAAATATTACCAACAATACACATCAGCTGTGACGACTAAACATTGCATTCATGTTGTAACTCTACTGGAAATTACGTGGTGCACCCAGATTCAGCGGTTATTTTTACGGCACACATATATAGGCTGCTCCGTAGTGTTCACGTTGTTTTATGGTCCGCTTTTGGCTCCTTGCCATCTGGCGTTTTTGTTAATTCTTTCTTATTGATACTTGGGATAGTAGTACCTGCTTTTGGCTAAACACCATATAAACCACGACCAGCTGATAAGCGATGGTCATCTGTCTTCATCAAGTATGAACCAGTGACACAAATCCCTGGTATCCAGTTAGCCTAGCTCTTCAGTCCCTGTTGTAACAGGGGTGTAGACTGCTAGGGAGTTCACTTAAAACAAATCTATCATATATTGCTCTTTTAAAAAGTAAGATATATATGCATATATATATATATATGACAGCTAGCTTAACGATTAATCCTTTGCAACCATCAAAGAGACAGCTGCAAATACCTGCTTGCATCAATCAGTGCTTATGCAGAACTTCAAAATGGAAGGTTTCTAGCTGTCTGAGGCCATTTATTAGATTAGATTTCCTTTATCAACTTCACTACATCAGCCTCATTGTTTTGCAGAAAACAAAGAAAAAGCAAGGATGCAACACTTGTTCTGCATGGCTGAAGAGATACGATGTGCTCGTCGTGGTTCTCGTCATCCCGATGAGTCCCGGAATACAAATTACACACAAGTAAACAGCGGCCGGTGCTTAATGAAAGGAGATGCCAACGCCTTTAATAATAGCGACGTTCCGATTCATCCGTTATCCGGAAATCCGGCGTATTATGTGCCTGCAGAATTCCTGTACAACGCCACTAGTTATCCGGTTGCTCTCAACGACACAAGGTCAAGCACTGCTGCACGTAGTGAGTTTTACGACGGAACTGCAAACGAGAGTGTAAGAACTGCTCCGGTTATGATCGGTTCTGCAAATTCGGGCACCCCGAATCACAGCCTGCATTACGATCATCGACACAGACATTCGAAAAGGTCTTCAATAATTGCGTCCACCGGGTCCGAGGAATCACATCTAATTCCTACACAAAACCAGTTAGCGGCTGCAGTTGCTGCGTACTGTGCACAACAAAGACAAAATTTGAATGAGTTGCAGCAACAATTACAGATGGACGAATTAAGCTTACAAAGCGCACAAGCCGGATCTTGTCCTGGAAGTATAGGTAAACCGGAAACTTTACTGATAGAGTCTCAACAACTCTCTTCGTCACATAAGAGCACCCTACGCAGAAACAGTACATGCAAGCAGCCCGTATCTTTGGTCGGTGAGCAGATACCGCCGGCACTGATATGCTCAACTTGCGCAAAACCAAATGATGGAGGCGAAGTAATCCAGACACCAACTAGACATGGGAACATCGTAGAGAAATATTCACCTAACGTACCACAGTACAAGCAAACAAATGGACAACCTGTTTTCGATGCCAGCAGCGATACCCCATTGTTACCGACAATATGCATCGCTTCTAATTCACAAAGGCCAGTAGTACTTCCGTTATGGAACTCCAATGCTTATCAGCAAACTATTCCGTCATGTTCGCTTTCGTCATCTGATAGTGGGACAGGAACAGGAAGCATTGTGCAAGAGGTGGCCGGTTCATGCAAGCCAGAAGCCCTCGAAGATGGTGGTAGCGATTTGCATTCAGAAGTCACATAACTTCAGCTGCATGACAAAGTGTATAACAATGTCTGCTGTTAAATTAACCGAACAGTGGCACAATGATAACGCACAATTAAGTTAATGTGAATAAACCTTAATTCTTCTACAAGCATAGTTATCCTTCAGTGTCGAAAGTCGCAGCCTAATTGAGGCAATTTAGGAACATTGGACCATATATTTAATTGCGCGAGTAACAGTTTAACTAACCTAATTCAAAGTGACTTTTCGCACAAAATGAACATAGTGCAAGTTATAAAACTGAATAATTACGTTCCGTAGGTATACGAAGACGCCATTTAAAAACGCTGTTGAATTTGAGCGGCGGTCTTCGATTGCGCTAAACGTTTGCACGTGTATAAATACCTACAACAGCTGTTTAGGTAGAGGGTTATTTCACTGAATGTTAGAACAGACACTTCTGAGGTTTAGGGACTATTAGTAAAAACAAATACACAACTTTTTTTAAAACTTGCATATTTTGTTAAAATGGTGCAAAGTATCATATTAGATTGTGAAGTCAGATTTTTCTCGTGCAGTTAGTTTTAAATGCATACTTGCTCACACTAAAATAGTGTAATTTGGCAAAGGAGAATATGTACCTAACCCAAACATTTCTCGCAACAGTATTGTTTCCATTGCTCGAACAATTACATATCGCAGACCATATGTCTCACCATCTGAGTAGCCGTGATTTTGTGCAACTTGGGTCGAATTTTCGCGATAGCATTCGTTAAAACCGAGGTGAATTTTAATTTTATCACTTTCGGTAAATGTAAAGCAAGCCTATAAATTGTGAGATTAAACATATAAGAATGCGTTACAGTTTATATAAGCTCACGAAGCTGTTCAGGATAAAACAGTTCAGGAGATGAATTCTAATCAACTTTAGCAGAACTCAGCTGTGTGGCAAAATGTTATGTTAATTATGGCATTTTTAGAGTTTGTCGTCGAATCCTGCAAATTTAGTTCAAGATCACAAAAATCTCTGACTGGTCGAAATGATTTCGTGCTTCTAATCGCAATTAGTATAATGCATAATCCTTCACTCGGACTAGTCAATTTTGGTCATGAAGCATTTTTAGGCGAAGAAGTTAATTCCAATAAGTAACTGTCTTCTTTCATTTGAACTGCTCTGGCTTTGTCAATTCATACATTTGCCATACAATCTATGGCAACTAAATGCTCGATATTCATTAGTGGAACAATAGAGTATTTGACTGATCACCCAACGATAAAAGGCGAACTCGCTCATGGCTATTTTGTCATTTTGATCATGTGGGCTTTCGGATATGGTTTTAATTTTAGACGCTTTAGGGAAGAAAGATGCCTAATGGAAGAAGTAAGTAACAATTCGTTTCGGATTAAATATGCAACAGGTGATCCTCAAGCTTTTGAAAATACAGGCGTAACATAAAGGCTTTATTAATATATGGTGTTTCCTATCCATGGTTTTACAGTATTTAGACATAGCTCAAATAATCTCACATGAGTAAATATGTATAGAAGCTCTCCTGGAAATAAAAAGCAACTCTTCCGCCGCTAGTGCCGCTAAGTACCTTATGCACAGCAACAGGGCCGCATTAAGTGTATCATCATAAAAAGTAGAAGCTCCGAATAAACCTCACAATGATCTGCCTCAACGGGGAATCGAACCCCGGACCCACGGGTAACCGGCGTACTGCTCTGCCACTGAGCAACCGAGGGTTGACGCTCAGGTGCGCAATTTAATACATGACTTCTGCTTTTTCGCAACGTATTGCCCATGAGCTCACAGTATCTGTCCTGGTGTTGCAAATTGGCTCACTCCCTTGTCACTTCCGAATGAACCGAATTATCTGTCCTTCTGATGTTCAAATGATGATGATAGATTACTTACGACTGCAGTTTTCCTACAATCTTAAAGTTTGGCTCGTAAAACAAGTTATCCCCAAGCTTGACGTTTGGATAAAGGCAATAACACCAATGTACTGTGATGTTCTGCATTTTCCATGAGGGCGAAATTCAGAGTATATTCAATGGCAAAGAATAAGGAAGCATAACATATTTCCTTTCTCCATTCTGGGGTAATTAATTTCCACCAGTAAAGGCTGGGACTTTCGAGAATTTTCCATAACTAGGTAGGCGACCATGACTTTCAACCGAGTCGATAAGTGATAGCGAATTGTTTTTTCGCGTGATTTCATTTATGCATACTTTTGAACGTGGAGGAAACTGGAGTCGCGTTACAACAAATGAACTCAACTATCAGGCTCTTCATTAATACCCCCAAGCCTACTTCTATATTGCCCACAGCTTGCTACCCTCGACATTTGAAGAATTCATAATTTTTATCTGGGTACCGATACATTTAAACAATATAAAATCGACTACTTGCACTGATGTGTCCCTGACGGTGAATAAGAGACGCTGCATGTTCTAGGCCCTATATTTAACATGAATAGTCTGCTTGCAGTAGCAGTGCTTTATTTTATTTCTTAGCTTGCGCTTCTACGTGAAATTGCCGTGCAAGAAATAGAAAAGCGGTTATACATGATGGCCTGTGGGAACATGAGCTCATGAAATAAACATTAACGAACTAGTAGACAATTAATACTAGTACTAATCAAACGAAAGCATTTTGGTAATGCATACTGATTTATAACTGGAAACAAGCGATTTCTTGGCAACTCTTGTTAAATCATGGGAGAAACAAGAAATGTATCTAAGTGACAGCAAAAGGGAATGTCCTACTTCATGGTGACTCACTGAGCTATTCACATGAGCTGCTCGCCGTTACATGGCAGGATAGAGGGATTGAACACAATGTTCGCATTATTTCGTCTTCGGGTGCAAACGGGCTACCTTACGCATTGTAATTGGGATAGAAGGTAGTTAAATTCTTTTTATTAAAGGCGTTGATGGGGGAACAAAAATAACGTTTGAGTGTTCTAGGATCTGGATAGTTAAAGGGAGAAAATGTTTTATCGGCAATCAAGTCTACTGTGATGCGTGGTCAGTTTCCGTAGGTGGCCAACAACGGATCGAAACAGGTGCGGTTCGGGTTAGCTAGTATCTTGTACATAATGACAACGTCATCTCGCGGATGCCGATAGTCGCCGCTGTAAAAGCATAGGGTTGCAGTTTGCATTGGAAGGGTTAGTGAAAAATTCCTCTATTGATCTTCGTGGCCCCACCCTGTGCAGCTTTGAGCGCAACAGCCTCCTTTTCTCGCCCATTAGACCAGACGTGGATGGTGTAATCCAGCCGGGACTCACGTAGGCATTTAGCATTTGTAGAGAGCTTGATGAATTGAAGTTCCTGAACGCTCTCCGTATGGAAGTCAATGTGCTGATCCACCTTCGCCGATGTCTTTTCTGCCTGTTTCTAGCAGCCAAGGTAGTCCTATGCGATTACCTCACTGTAGCTTTCTTCTGTAGTAGGTTGAAGCAGCTGCTCCTCAAGAAGCTATTCAAGAACTAATGGTTAGCGTATGTTTAGAACTAATTTGAGCACACCCGTTAAAGACACTGCCTATCCTTGAAGTGCCTGCCAGCTAAACTAATTTCCATTCAGTAGTCTTTCAACCGCGATTCCCTGGACTGAGTAATAGCTTACGATGAACTGTCTTCTATGTTGCCTACGATAAATGGGGTTCATTAGGGTTACTATATATTTCCATTTCTTTTTAACTCGGAGATCGAAGTGATTGTCAATGACACAGCTTTTTCAGAATCTACAGAAGTAGAAGTGCTGCTTTCTTTACAAACTAAAAATCTGCAGTATGCGGACGATATAGCTTTTCTTGATTCTGAAGTATGGGCTATGCAAACATTGCTGGATAGACGGACACGTAGCGCTGCACAACTCGGAATTTCACTTCCCCTTCAGATTGAAATGTACAGTTACAGGACTGGACCGATGCACTTCCGGATCTAGCCATCACGGAACAGTCACTGGAAATTGTGAATCGGTCACTTTATCTCGGTAGCTCTGTCACATGTGTTTCCCACATCACTGACAAAGATAGCGTAAATACAAAGCCCATGTAACTTTCTGAAGATGGCAGGATATCAGACAGTAGCAAAAGGTGGGTTGCATGACTCCGCGATAATACCGGGGATGCTGCACGGATCAGAAGCCTAGACACATGGATTAGACCACATAGTTGAACTGTTTCCTGTCGTCGAGGAATATATCAATTATTTATTTATTATGATACCAAACTCTCGGCCGTTTTGAACACCGGTTTTGTGAGGTGTTGCTCACGTCATGTGGGTACAGCAGTTTAAAAATGTTGACGTCCATCAGTTTAGTATTACAATGGAGCCATCTATTATGTGATTCGTGTGTTCGATTACTCGTAATCCCTTACTTGTTGTTGGGTCATATCATCCGTATGCCCGTCGACCAGCTTCCCCAGAGTATATTATACGCCGTGGTCGCAACAAGTTAGACGAAACCGCAAGGTATCCGTCCATGGCGTGATATAGAATCATGAGGAATTTGACTACGGAATTTCATCAAGCTGGTACGTGTCATGTTCGTGAATGCAGATCACGAGTTGGTCCACACCGAGATTTGTAGACTTTATCAGACATGGCGCAGTCATACAGTCAGTTGGTTTCCTGCGTTCGCTTTCTTGCATCTGTTTGTTTATTATTGCTTCATTCTTAGTAATCTAACGCATCACCTTTTTCTTTTTATTTTCTTGACATTCTAGTTGTATCCAACATCAATAAATTGACCTTGTTATTTATGGTATTCTTTCTGTTTGGGTACTGGCGACTGGATCTACCTCACTTTGTTGCTCAGATCATAGTTATTCAGAGACTGAGTCTGCAACTGTATTTAAATACAAGTAGGAATTCTTCTGTACAACTCTATCGAATTTTGAAAAAGCAAAATCATTTAATTACGAATCATCAGCGTATTGTTTGGCCAGTCAACGGTTTATTCTTGACCGGTTAAGAATTCGTATTGGTATCATTATTTTTGGGTATAGACTGTGTTATTTTACACTGTACGTGCAGCCTTTCACAAAAGAAAGGCTTCTGGAATAAGCGTCGACACGTGCTTTAAAACATTTCACATAATCGGCCTCTATTAGTCCTTCTAGTAATCTATCC